TCCCTCCACCCACGCTCACAGCTCCGCTCTGTGCTGAGGATACAGCAGGGCATCGCCACAACCCTGTCTAGAGCAGCTGCGCCAGTCCACACGGAGCCCCAGGCTGCAGTGAGCCCCATCCAGGGAATGACCCAGGTCTGGGGCCAGGGACAATCCAGTTTCCTGGAGCAGGTCTCTGAGTCAGGGCCCTGAACCGGGTCCTGGGTTCTCAGCTGCCCCTGGGCGATGCCCTCCTGCCCCCCAGGTGGGTGTGGGGGATTCACCCCAGAACTGAGAACCTTCCACGCCCTGTGCCTTAGCTTAACCTGTGCCTTCAGCATTTTCAAACCTAGGAAGAAAAGGGCATCGATCTAGTTAGGGTGGAGGAGGAGTGCAGGAGGCGTCCGCTGAGGATTTCGGCACTGGGCTCCTCACACTGCCAAAAGCTAAGGCAAGGTCCCCAGACACAGGTGCTGCCCAATTCTCTGGGGGACGGGGAAGGCTCTGTCCCCCGCCGGGCTGCAGCCTCAGATCTGGAGGGACTGCAGAGGAGCGCGTCACCGCAGCCCCTGTCACCATCAGCAGGGGAGAAGCTGGCTCCTGGAATGACACTGGAAGGTCAGCCAATCAGGCGCGGAGCTGCCACCTGCAAGCACACACGCCACTGCCGCGCGGAGGAAGGAGGTGAGCAAACGCACCCCCTGCGGACCCCACGCCGCTGCACCTGCACCGACACCTCTTCCCCTTTCTATGCACCATCCAGGCTTGAAAATGCCCCTGTGCACACAGTGCCCCTCATTACACGGGAAACAAAGACTGCCGGACCCGTCCCGGCCTGCTGGCAGCCTGGGCCGGAGCTCCAGTGAGCTGTACCCTGGGACGCAGAGTCTGGGCTCGGGAACTGGGAGGAGCAGGGAGGCCTGGAACTGACATCCATCTGTGCACAGCCGTCCTCCCTCCCCCGCTCCACTGAGCCCGCCGGAGTCTGGTGAGGTCTGCTGCCCACTAGTGTCCGTGGCGGGGACACAATTGACATGCAGGTAGCAGCACCTCCTGTCTCTTCCAAGGCCCAGCGCACGCTTCAGCGTGGCTGCCAGGAGGACAGACAAGCCCTGCGATGCTCCCTGAGCCCCTGCCCGTGTGGGCAAGGCAGGCCAGGACAGCAAAGCCTGGGACATGCCTGCCCATCCTGAAAATGCCCCGAAGGCTCTGCCTAACGCCAAGTGTATTCCTTTTCACCACCTATTAATTATGCATGAGCCACATCCATAATCTCATCCATTCAGTTTAGCTAATTTTACGAAATCTAGATGTCACAGATTGTGTAAATGCGTGCTTCATGCTTCACGCGTCACGCGCTTGAGAAATACGCCGTTTCAGACATGAATTCCCAGCCTCCTACACTGCCCATGGCTCTTCACAAAAGGAGAGCCCCATCCCTACATCAAGTCTCCATGCACATCCACCTGAGTTTCCTTCCAGCATGGCCAGTGCACCTTATTCACCTCACACACGTCAGAGATAAACTGCTCGGCCAGCGACAGGAGGGCCAGGCTTTAGGGGTTTAAATTGGTAATTTGGGAAGTCAAAATTATTTGCCCTGCCACTGTGCTGCTCTGCACCAATTCTGCCCCAGGCTTAGTGGTCCCCGAGGCAGCAGGGACCAAGGACACACCCAAGTGGGAAAGGAGAGAAAGGGTAGAGGCAGATTGGCTGGCATTTATTAAAGGTCCGCCTGGCATTTCGTTCTGCTACAGAGGGCATCTCGTGGGGGCAGGCAGCTTCAGTTAAAAGGCCTGGAAAGTGCAGATGAACCCCAAAATTCCAAGCTTGGAACTGCAGTCTGCTTCATCAGGATGGGGGAGAGATGCCCTTTTCTGCTTGCATAGGCTGATGGGAATCACATAAAAAATCACCTTCAAGGCCCTCGGGGCCACTGGCACTCGGAAAGGCCTGCTTCTGCAGTTAGATAAAGCACCAAGTACGTGGCCGGTAATTCCCTGTCCAGTGAACAGACAACACCCACAAAAGGCCCCACCTGGGCTTCCATGAGCTGCCCCCCATTGCTGCCACCCCCGCCTTCTGGGTCCCCCGAGAACAGGATGCAGTAACGCTCAAACCCCACAGCCCTAGAAAACACAATGCCCATCAAAACAGAGACATCCAGAGGTGGCACAAGCAGGCTCCGTGGAACCCGTCTGATTATGCCCCCTCGGCTGATCTTGAGCCACCTCGGCTTTGCTCAGGAACTGCAGATCAGCCTGTGCTTGCCGGGGTTAAAATCGAGAGGAACTGGAAGGGATGGGGTTCGTAGGATGTGCGTGCTGAGCAGACATGGAGGGACGTGTGCATGTGTGTGCACATACGTGTGCCCTATTCCTGCCACGACCCCAGAGCTCTCCCGTGAGTGTCTTCAGAGCACTGCAGGGCAAGTCGCTGCTCTGAAACATGGTCTCTGCACCTCACCAGGTGAGGTCATTTGTAAGCCTTTAACCCATGAAGGAGCTGGCCTCTCAGTTCTCACTTCTGTCCAAAATACTCTCTGTAGCCTTCCAGCAGCCAGGCTTTTATTAAGATATAAATATACATCCCACTCCATCAGCAATAAAAGTGCTGCTATCTACTGTTAAAATGCACACATACTGGGGGCTTATGCGATGAGCTTCCCAAAATATCAATGTGCATAATCTTTTGCAAATGAGAAACATGTGTTATCATACCAGGCGTTTTTGGTGTTTGAGGCCCAGCTATCACACATATTCGGATGTTTTCTAAAATTAAATTGGGCCAAAATATGACAGTTGTTGACCAAAAAATTTTTTTTCATTTTTTAAAACTCTTCTTCAGGTAGGTAAGAATCATTTGCTTTCAGATTTCTTAAATATAGTCTTGAAACAGGCAGTATTCAAAACTAGACTGATTTCATTTCAACATGATTGTATATCTTATGATCCTTTACACAGTATGTCTTGAATGCCATTCTTTAAAGACCTCTACAACTGCAAAATGAACGAGCCCAAATCTCTACAGTCAGGCTTTTAAAATTTTCTCACTGTTTGATCATATGAAGAGAGAGCCACTTTTATATAAGGCAGCACCACAGCTCCCTGGTAGACAGGATCAGAACACATACCACAACAATGTAAAATATTCATTTGCATGTGCCTCTTATGTCTTATCTTGTGTAGTATACCTATATTCATTACAGTGACCATAATTAATTAGCAAGTGATAGCAAAGTCTTGAAGACAATGCTTGCAGGACACAATATATGTGCAATAGGTGATCTTTGCATATATTTCCATATTATAGATGCCTGCTTGAAGTTTCATACAATCCTATGACCACGTAGGATTCTAAGACTTTTTCAGATGTGAAATACTGTCTCAAAACAGTCACCCACATTTAGGAATCTATGTGCCAGAGACTGTCATTAATCCTTCCCTACATTTTGGTCACATTTAACTTGATCAGAAAAATAGACGCTAGCTGGCTGACCCCTCTCAGAATCCCTCTCACTCTGAAACACACATTCTCCGTAAGACAGGCACCTCTTTCATCCTACAACCCCGGCCCTTACAGGTCCAGAGCTGTCAACCTGGGTCAGCAAGGCTTGGTGGCCCTGGGACGTCTCAGAGCGTTTGTGCCTTTCCCATGACTTGCCATGTGCGGAGCAGCGAAAAGGGCTGCCTCCTCTCAAACAACCGCAGCCAGCTCCCTAAAGCACATGCACCCGCAAGGTAAATTCCCCCAGGAGGAGCAGGACAGGTGCGGTGCCTGCTGGGAACAAAGGTGTCTTGTCAGAACTCATAGCCATTTTTTCCTGCCAGGAATTCTCAAAATGAAAGTTTCAAACACTCTGCTTGAGGTTATATTCAAGAGCAAAGTAGCATTTTCATGTGAATTTTGGAGGTTCCTTCTTCATTCAGCTCTATCTGTTCTTCATCATCATTTTTTAATTGGACAACATTCATGCATTTCCTTTGACCTGCTGGGTGCTGATTCTTAAGTCCTGCCTAGGTAGGCAGAGAAAATGCTGGGGGGCCCTCCCTGTGGCCCTTCAGGAAAATCTTAGAGCCTCCCTTTTCCTTCTGGTGCTTTCTTACAAGGGCCCGATCTCCCTCCCTCCCTCCCTCTCTCTCTCTCTCCCTCTTTCTCTCCCCCCACACCCCCCCCCACCTCCCGCTCCTTAGTGGTTTAATTTTAACTGGCAGCAGCAGGTTATACATTATATACAGATGTGTGTTCCAAAATTCGAGATGGGAATTGAAGCCTTGTACTGCCTCCCAGGCCATGTCAGAGGACGCCAGTCCCCTCCCGCTCCCGCTCGCGGGAAGCCATTCATACACGCAGGATCGTATTCAGGCGGTGACAAGCCAGCCACGGTACGGTCACACTTACTGAGTGGCTGGGACCCGTCATGAGCAATTGCCTTCTACGTGCCCGGGAAGAAAGCCTCCCCAGATGGACGGGCGTGAGGCAAGACACTGTGTTAACAATATTCACAGGTCTCATTCTTAGGGCCACACAGGTGTTTCTTTAAAATTTATCCACCTCTCAGATGATGTAATGTTTACCAATGCATATTTTTGCATAAACTGCTGGGAGGAATAAGATGTAGTACGAGGGTGGGGGAGGCGCTTGGGCCGAGCTTTCTGAAGCCTGCACTGCTGCTGGGTGCATCTGGCAGGACCGAGGCGCAGGCTTGGGGCTGGGAGGGCTCTGCCTCTGGGGAGACCCCTTCAGCGTCCCCTCGGGCGCCGCACCGGGAACTGAGCCCCTCTCGGCGCGGTCTTCTCGGCGCGGTCTTCCCGGCGCGGCCTCGCCTCCCTCCGCCTGCAAACCTGGCTTGTTCTGCGCGAGCCGGCTCTGGGCCCGAGTTCGCGGCCAGAGCCCGCACTGGCTAGGTCAGCTCCTCGCAGCGACTGCGGAGCAGTTCCTCCCAGTCCGGCACATTTGTTCTCTCGTAAACAGACAAACACGGGGGTGTGGACGCCGACGCCAGGGAGAGGGAGACTCACCACTCGCGAAGCTCTGGAACAAGGAGAGGGCCAGTATCCACATGCCCCTGCCGCGGCTCGGCCTCCCGCGCGCCGGCGAGCGAGCCTC